CTTGAGTGGAGCAAAGAAGTTGAAATATCTTTTGAAGCCTTAAAGACAACATTTATTTTTGCACCAATTTTGTATTATATCAATTTTTCTAAGACATTCTTCATAAAAAGAGATATATTAGACTTTGCTATGGATATTGTTTTATTACAAATGGAAGCATATGATAAATTCCATTTGGTAGCTTTTCATTCCAAGAAATTTTTAGCAATCAAGATTAATTACAAGATCTACAACGAAGAACTTTTTGTAATTATGAATTTATTTTAAGAATAGCGTCATTATCTAAAAGGTGCTTTTAGTCCAATTATTATATATGTCGATCATAAGAACCTCAAATACTTTATGTTTGCATGTATTTTGAATCATCACCAAACCTATTGAAATATGTCTTTATCAAGATTTGATTTTAAGATCACCTATAGATTCAAAAAATAACAAGATTTTTTGGATGTCATTTTTAGATGTTCTTATCTTATATCAAAAGAAAGAAATGTATCTTTTAATCAAAAAAAAATAATTCTCTTGAAGCTAGATCATTTTCACCTTTGAGTAATAAAATCAATATTAATTATTGATTTAACTTTTATGAAGCAAATTTAATCAAGTATATCTTTTGATTTTCTTGTTTATGATATCAAAAATAATTCTTCTAAGTCTCAAGATACTTTTAAGTTCAAGTTTAAGAATAATCTACTCTACTTTGAGAGAAAATTATAAATTTTAGAAAGTAAAGTATAATAATGTATTCTTTAAGCTCGTCATGACTTTTGAGTAGCTGAATATTTTTAATAACACAAGACTTTGGAATTAATATCTAGAGATGTTTTATAGCCTCAAATATGGAAGGCACTCAAAGACTTTATACAATCATGTGATATTTATTTAAGATCTAAAACTCTTCATCATTGACCTTATAGACTTCTTCAACCATTACCTATTTGGAAACAACTATGATCTTTTGTTTTTATAGATTTTATTACTGATCTTCCAATCTTAAGTTCATATGATTCTATATTCGTGATAGTAGATCATTTTATTAAGATGGCACATCTTGTACTATGTATAAAATCTATCACAGGTGAAGAAATGGTTAAATTTTTTCTTGACAACATCTATTACTATCATGGATTATCCAAGGATATTATATTAGATAAAAAAATTCAAATTGTATCAAGATTTTAGAAAACTCTTTTTAAAATTTTAAAGATAGATATAAAGTTCTCTTTGACCTTTCATCTTTAAACTAATGGACAAACAAAAAAAGTGAATTAAGTTTTGGAATAGCATTTGAGGTATACCATCATTTATCATCAAGATAATTAAACAACTCATTTGTCATTGGCCGAGTTTGTGTACAATAATTTAGTACATTTTTTTATTTAAGAAACACCTTTCTTTGTTAGTTATGATTATCATCTATTACTTAATACTTTTGACTTTCAAAATTTGATAATTTTATAGTTTAAGATTTGACAAATTGTTTGTGAGAATTACATGTACTAATAGAGGGACAATTAAAGGAAGCTCAAGAACAAAAAAGAATCAATGCGGATGCCTATTTTAAAGAATAATCACAATTTAATGTAGATTAAATATGGCTACTTCATTACAATATCAGGATATCTCATCTTTGTGACAAGTTGGACTATTGTAGCCTTGAACCTTTTTTTATTAGAGAACAATTCAATCCTATTGCTTATTGATTATATTAATTAGAGTCTATGAAGATTCATTCTATATTCTATGTATCTTTTTTTGAGCCATATAAGATAAAAAATATCTTGAAAAAAATACGAAAGCCACCTTTTATAAAAATAGATAATAATCAAAAGTTCAAAGTGGAAGAAATCTTTAATTGAAGGCAATGCCAAAATAGATTAGAATATCTTGTTCATTGGTATGAATATGATATTAGTACATATGGGAGCTAGCAAAGAATCTTCCAAATGTAATAAAGAAGATTGAGATTTTTCATTAACAACATCCATCAAAACTAAGATAAAGAATATCAAATCTTTGCCATAAAAGAAACAAGATTCAAAAAAGATAGTATTCTACTTTCTACTCTTATTTATAACTTTTGTATTTTTGTAACACTAAAAAGATGAAAAATCAATAACCAAAAAATTTAATTTAAGAATTATTACTTACTTACTTACTTGTTGAATAAGACATTGCAATTGTCATAACATTCAAGATGATGTAATTGAAATGAAGATACTTAAAAATGACATGTCTTTCTTTGAATAGATAGCAAGATATAACATATTTGATATCACGTCCTTCAAAGAGACTCTCAGTGTTTGGTGATTTTATTAGAAGTAGGAACAACTTTTGATGATATTTTATATATTTTATTTGAAAGGAGTTATAAAGCCTTTAACAATAATCAAATAGTAAGGTGACCTTCTCGCCTTAATACAAAATATTATTGATAGTTGAGAGGACCTATCAATCATCCTTAAAAGAACAAAGATCAAAATATGTGGCAAATATAATTTTCTACATCTTCAATTTTTTCTACATATGATGACCATTCCTCATAGAACTTGTTCCTATGAAAGAAGGTAATGTCATAGTGTCATATTGTAATACAACTATATGATAAAAATATAATCAAAAATAAAATTTTAATTAATTTTTAATCATCTTGATTCAATAATAATTCAAGATATTTAAAAATGGCTTTTATAAAAGCCTCTTAATTTTGTATTAATCTAACAATACAATTGAGTGATATTTGGGTTTTGATAAAAGAAGGTATCAAAAGTTGGGAGTTTGAGGTTGGATAGGATTTTTGTGATATCTAAAGATCTATTAGTTCGATCAAGGTGAAATTTGGCATCATATTAGAAGACTTTAAAATCAAGTTACATACCAATTTTGAGTTGAAGTTAAGAGTTGGAAAAGAAAAAATCACTACTAAAATATCTGCATCAACTTTCAAGTTAGTGGCCAAGTGATATCAATGCAATTTTTGGACTTTTTTTCTGAATTTGTAGGTTGAATTGGATTGAATTTTTCTAAGTATATAAAAGAATTATAGTGGCATCTGTATGCAAAATTTTACATTGAGTAGATAGTTAGATTAGGAGTTACAACTTGCCAAAGCTCATTGACTAGGATTAGGGCTTACAAAGAAAAATCAAAATTACCTAATTATGAAAGTAATAAGATAATTGGAGTTTATATATGATTGAAGTTATTAAGAAGAGTGTTTTTAAGCACTTTGTATTGACTTTAAGTAATTTTGAATTGAAATTTGAATTTCATTCTTTTTATATGGATGAAACCTATTAGGTATTCTTGAATATTTGTAAAATACAACTTCACCTTCCATAGTCAAGTGTTTGGTGCATTCTCAAATCAGAAAATACATATTACAACAACAAAAAAATATATTTATTCTAATATTTGTCTATAAAATTAAATAGAAGTAAGTAAAAGTAGATTTATTTCATATTATTTTCTAAAAATGCTTTTTAGGAGCTTCATAGACTCTACTTTAATTCTATATGTATTTGTAGTTGATTGATAGGTTAGAAACTTGATCAATAAGTTAACCACATATTGATAGCTTGCAAAATAAGCTAAGTCTATGGCATACATATAAAAAACTTATTTTAGAAGTTAAGATACTTGTCTCACAAAGTCAACACATTTTAGAGATTGTATATGACATTGCCATGTAACTCCTAGTTAAGAGTATATATAGAGGCAAGAATGAAGGATTTTTTATTCTTGTCAATGCCTTTTTAGTCCATAGTCTTATTTTAAGGCTTTTTAATCTTTTTTTCTTTGGCAATAGCTATTCAAGTTTAATATCATATCATCTTTGAGTGATTTTTTAGTCTTTTTGAGTGACAGAAGAATGTATTGACATTTTAGTTCTTTGAAGTTTATGTCCTTAATAAAGACATATTTTTACTTACAAGACAAATTATCTATATGTGTGCTAGATAATTAGCTTATTCTACAAGATACCAATACGTGTGACATAAGTCATCTCTATGTATGACATGTGGCCAACTTGTTGACTAAGTTTTTAACTTATCAATCACTTACAATCATATATAAAATCAAATATGTACCTACAAAGCTTCTAAGAAATTTTTTCACAATATAATATCAAATTTATTCACTTCTACTTCTATTTATTTCTATCTAACTCCTTTAATTTAAGTAAATATATATGTCGATAACAATTATCTATCTTTTAGACTTTATTTTTTGAACAATGAAAAATCACCAAGTTTTAAATAAAACAATTAGTAGAGATTATAAAATTCTTTGGTATTTATTCTTTTATTTCTTGTTGTTCATTTTTATTGGTTCTTTAAAAATTAAAAGTATGGCAAAAAAAAAGTTTGTTTAGAATTTAATATAATTACAAATCTATATCAAAATGAATCAAATTTACTTTCATAAATTAAAATAACACCAAATCATGGTTGATTTGGTATTATTGAAGATAATGCATTCTTTTAATTAAATGGAAGGAGCCACAGGGACATTGTTTGCAAATCTTGAAATCCCTATTTCACCATTTGAAGATTGAACTAAATTCTTTTGGTATGGTCTATCATGTCTCATAAAAAATTTAAAGACATGCAAAACTTATAAAAATATGTGTGTTTTGGACACAAGCTGAATTTCAACATAAAACATGAAGGGTAACTTCTAGTTTACTTTAAAATAATTTAGAATTACAAAAATACATTGCAACCATAGAGAGTTACAGCCATGAAGAAGATCACAGGTTGCCATTCCAATAGTCGTAACACAAATTCCAATAGAGTAATTCATATTGACAACAACGAGAGGATGTGCAGAGACAGCGAGCAACGTTACTGAGCAAGCAATACTGCAGGGATACGACAGCATTCAGAACAAACATACTCCAATCGAGTTTGAAGGTCAAAGAGGGAAACGAAACAGCAGCAGCAGATTCCCTCATCCCATCACAATCCACTTGACTGCACTTGCACTGAGGAGAATTCTTGGTTTTTGCAAGTGTTTCGCTGCAGTCGATTCAAGAGATGGGGCACGCAACACATCTGGAACGAGGTACACAAGCACCGAATATGTGTGTTCTTCCGAAAAAGTATCTACATTGTAGCAGGTGCTGCACTATCCAATCTGAAGAGTAACACATGAGAACTATCAACTCGTCAATCGAGGCAACGACTACGTCGCTCACAGGGAGAGGTTGCTTGGAGATTCTAGACTAGACAAAAGCCACAGACTCGATAATTCACCCGCGATGTTTGGACTGTAGTAGGGAATTCCAAACCCACGATGCTCCCGCTAACGTGCAGGTAATGCAATGAAACTAGTACGCACCAATGAGAAGTTGATCCATCATACTCCTTAAAACCGTATCGACTATTAAGTACTCGATCACAACACACAACTTCAGATACCTTCACAAAAGCGGTCTGCACATTCTAATCTCCAAAAGTCAGTGACAAAAAAACAAAAGCTTGATGTTAATTTGTTCTTTTTCAAAAAAAAAAAAATTGTGGTTTAAATCTAATCAATACCAACTCGTCACCCACAAGCTGGTAATCAATCGCAAGCTTCAGTGAGGAGGTTGCAGTCCACATGAAGGGATACTACTAGACAAACCTCTGCGTGCCGGTTTGAGGAATCCCGATGCGCATGCATGCTATCCCATTTTATATTCCACACAATTCTTGAGAATAGTTAGATCAGGATGTCGCCACAGATTTCAGGGGTCCCGCACTTTTTGTGAAAGCGGGCACCAGGTGCCCAGGACGTGACGAAGTGCTGAAGGCATCAGCGTAGACGCTAGCGGTGATCTCGGCTCCGGAGCCAGTGAAGTATGATCCATCAAGGAAAATGTCGCCGCTGGAAACCCAGTTCCAGTTCTCCCAGCTCCCGAAAGTGGGTCCATTGTCATCGATGCGTTTTGTCACCTAGGATTCAAAACACCTTCGGATCAGAACAATATTCCAGTAAGATTGAAAACAACGAATCAGGACCTGGGGCATTCGACATCTAATTGCTTAATCAAGTGAGTGGAAAGAAATCAAAAGTAAGGCAGTGCAACCGAAGTGATTCGTTTGTGTACAAGGGTTGAAGGAAAGTGTTCATGAATAGCGATCTGTGCAGAGAATCTCACCTCTTTCTCCCGGGTGGGTCTAAAATAATTTCCTTCGCTGAGGATAGTAGGGTTTTCGCTTCCCCCGATCGCATACTTGTCCCACCCCTCCGAGTAATCGTTGTTCAAAATATGGAACACACCAAACCGGCATCTGAATTGCACAACAGAGCATAATAGCAGTAAGCTGCTTTGACAACCCAAAAGCCAGACACGTTTCACTAAGCAGATGCAAATCTTCACTGTAAATCACAGTTCAGTGAACTATACCGTGGCATTCTTTGAATGAGGCCTTTGCCAAATTTGTTAAAAGCCACTGTCGCCTTCATGTTCCTGTCGGCTGTCCATGTAGGGCTTGATCCAAACAGCAACACCTGCAATTTCACCGGCCAAGGACTTCAAATGGTTGTAACCTATGATATTAAGCTCGCAGCCAATTGTGAAAGCAACCTCCAGAGAACCTGTTCAAAGGCAGCAAGATAGCTACCTTGTTGTGATTCTCGAACAAGCAGTTCGACACTGTTATCATGGTCGATCCACGAGTAGCGTCCAGCAGCCCGTCAGAAGCCTTTGCCAGGTAGCAGTGATCCACCCACACATGCTTCGAATTTAAGATATGGAGGGCGTCACCGTCAGATTCGACACGAAGAACCACTCCGGTGGGCGATACTCGGATAGCCGTAGGACCTGTAACCTCAATGTCGTGGATATGGATGCCGTGAACGATAACGTGGCTGGCGTTCTGGATGGTGATCTGCGCTCCTACAACGTGTACATCCGCGCCACGACCGTCAATGGTCTTGTACGAGTTCACCCAGAGTTCTCCCTTTAGCTTGATTGTCATGCTTTTGGCGAAGGTTATCCAAAGAGGGCCATTCCGCGACAATGCATGGCGCAAGGTTCCAGGTCTTGGATATTCCGGATCGTCGTCATCCTTCCTCGTGACAACGTAGATGGGCCCGTTTTTACCCCCCTCGGCGTTTCGTCCGAATCCAGTGACGCAGCCAGCCAACGCCTGACGATGGCTACGCCAGTTGAGGTCGCAACGCCAGCAGTCGTCTATTGGGTTGCCAGTGCCACACCCGCCCAAGACCTTGGCCAGCGAGGCGAGCGTGTCGTCCGCGGTGGTGGCGTTCAGCATGTCTACAGCAGCAAGACTCAACTCACTGCTAGAATGTAAAGCGTTATCAGAATGTCCAAACAATTATGGTATACGTGCAGGAGTAGGTCTATATTCTCTACTTTGGTCACATTGAGGCTGCTATCAACCAGAACCTCATTCCACACTGAAGCCAAACCCACGTTTCCAATTTAAGTTACTCATTCAAAATCCACAAAAATCCAGCGAAGAAAATGGGTTCAAACTTACTTGTCCATCCCCCTGTAAATGGTGCGCGCAGAGGACGTGTTGAAGAAGACCTCGTCATTCTCGTACTCATACTGGGTGTGAAACCCGCGTCGCTCGCCGGACTCGTCATTCTCGTACACAGTGTCGCCCGAAAAGCTTCTCAGGGAAGCATCGTCCACAACCTCAGGAGAGTTTATGAATGTGTCGAATGTTGGGTCACTCTCCGTGGAAGCGAATGAGTCATACTCCTCTGGCATCTCTATTGGCCTTTGTTCGCTTCCCTGCATAGCAGAATACTGGAAGGGGCCAGTTTTCTTGGTGAATGTGGGCATATCCAACTGAGTGTTGCTTTGAGTGTCAAACAACACTGGATCGGAAGGAAATTCATAAGGACTGTCCTGGTAATCGGGAACCCTACCGTACACATACTCCTCTGCTACGACTGGGTCGCTAGGGAAGTCCATGAAGCTTTGGGCGGGGTAATCCTGCTGAGTGCGATAATCTCCTGCCACCGACCTGGCGTGGAGGAGTGTCCACTGGGAGGTGAGCACCAGCAGGAGCAAACGAGGGAACATTCTGGTCGCCATTCAAGTGACCAATGAGGCGCAGGCTCGATTCATCCAACAGATCTCCAAGTACACCGCATAGAAGTAGTTGAATTCCCACAAACCCAATGCAGACAGAACACTCTGATCTAATCGACGTGCAATAGGTGCACGTGAGTCTTAAGAAGGACACTGCTAATTGATAACACGTACATTGAGAGATCGACTTCAATGTCCGCGAATAGACCTGATCACATTCCTCCGCAACCCAGTGTTGCAGGAACCCAACGTCGCCATCCTTCATGTGATCTAATCATGGCCGGGGTTGTCGAAGACGAGCTTCCGCTGCACCTCCAACAACTGTAGAATCACAAATCGAAGAACGCGGTGCGAGTCTGTTCCAGAATTAGTTTTCATATCGAGCGGGCGGGCTCGGATTCGGGGTTGTATCTCCCGATTCAAGATCAGCAATGATAAATTATCCTTTCAAGGGGTGCAACGTGCTGGTAGCTGCTCCGATAATGGGGAGCAATCTGTGCAATCCGGCAATGTAGCAGCGCTGAGCTTGATAGCCACCAACTCCTTCAACTCGCTTTTAAACTGCAAGAGGATTGAGCCATTCCCACCTTCCCTAGGATTCAGTAATGATTCAAACCGTTTTCCCTCAAATTGCACATCCTCTCAGATGTGTGTCATTGTGACCGAAGAACACTGCACTCAAGAGTAATTTTAGACGAAGCGTTGTCCATACTCCGTTAAAAAATCCTTAGCAAATATAGTAAAACCATGTAACACATTTCGCGATATTTTCAACAATCTCACTGCAATTTAGCCAACCAACCTACCTCGGCTTGCTCAATCTAGTCAAAAACCCATTCGATCTAATTGTACAAAATTACACTGACAGCACATGATTCAAACGCTTCACAATCCCACGGAGTGCAAGATGAGCAACCGAGAGTTGGTCCCACACCTATTGACGCCGTCCCCACCACAGCGGCTATAATTGTTCATTCTCCTTTGAGCCCACCGAATGACGCGGTGACCAGCTGCAGAGCCCGCAAACGAATCGGGGCCACCACGTTGACCGTCACCGCCGCTGCTACAATTCCTGACGACGTCCCCGTGATGAATTCGAATCCTTCGTGTGCAACGGACTGAAGCTGGGTCCAAACTGCGAGATGGGCTGCTGCATCTGATATGGTGAACTTGGAGGCACCGAACCAGAGCTTGCGCCGCGGTGGAGGACTCCGACGCCGACCACGAATGCATCGTAGAACCCATGCAGTCAAAGCCATGCTGGCAAATGTTTGTCTTCTACGAAAACTCCGGGATCGTGTTCGCAAACCCTAAAAGTTTGCGAATTTGAGTCATTGGAGGATTTTGTTTGATTTTTAGTTTCCTGTCATTGTTGTAGAGCACAACACGGAAATTATTTTAACACTAGCTACTGTAAATGTGAAATGTCATTCGAAGTGTGTTGGGGTTCTTCAATTTAAACAGTATGTCATTGGAAGTATGGATTAGTCTAGACTTTCAAGTTGTCTAGTTCGATAGGAAAACCAAGACTACGTTTGGATGAGTTCTTGTTTCTTGGCATACCAATAAAATGAGTATATTTCGTGTATTCAGATTATATTGGTTGAGGTCCATGACTTTTGTGAATGGCAGCTACAAATATGTGTGGAGGTGCAATGATTGTTATGGATTCATAGAAATGACTACTGGTAGATTTTTACAATATTGGATTCGTAGATTTGAGATATGAGGAATTGAGGTTCGTAGAATCGTTGATTTGTGAGCTTGTAGATTTGTGGACTAGTGGGTTGGTATACTTTGGATTTGTGGAATAGCTAATTCAAGATTTGTAAATTTGTAGACTTATAAATTTGTGGATTATGTGATTTGTGGATTATGTGATTTATGGATTATATGATTTGTGGATTATGTGATCTATGGATTATTTGATTTTTGGATTATGTGATTTGTGGATTATTTGATTTATGGATTATATGATTTTTGGATTATGTGATTTTTGGATTATGAGATTTGTGGATTATGTGATTTATGGATTATTTGATTTTTGGATTATGTGATTTGAGGATTATGTGATTTATGGATTATATGATTTGTAGATTATGTGATTTGAGGATTATGTGATTTGTGGATTATATGATTTGTGGATTATGTGTTTTGAGGATTATGTGATTTGAGGATTATGTGATTTGTGGATTATATGATTTGAGGATTATGTGATTTATGGATTATATGATTTTTGGATTATGTGATTTTTGGATTATGAGATTTGTGGATTATGTGATTTATGGATTATATGATTTTTGGATTATGTGATTTTTGGATTATGTGATTTGTGGATTATATGATTGGTGGATTATATGATTGGTGGATTATGTGATTTGTGGATTATATGATTGGTGGATTATATGATTGGTGGATTATGTGATTTGTGGATTATATGATTGGTGGATTATATGATTGGTGGATTATGTGATTTGTGGATTATATGATTGGTGGATTATGTGATTTGTGGATTATATGATTGGTGGATTATGTGATTTGTGGATTATATGATTGGTGGATTATGTGATTTGTGGATTATGTGATTTTGTAGACTAGGCTAAAGAACAATCCGCAAATTGGTAGAATTGGAGTTCGAAGCTCTTAAACAACCATGGAAAAGTAGCAATTTCTTCAACACGAAACGTGTGACAAAAATAAAACTCGTGTTTTTAAGCCATGCATCACGTGACATTCTATTGTTATAGTCGATATTAGTTTTGAATCTTGTATGCTATATTCTAAATTTTGTACATATTTTGTTTATGACACAACTCGTTATACATAGAGAAATTTGTTTTTTGACTATTTTCTGTTAAGTAATCAAATTTGTGGATACAATGTTGTAACATAAAACAATACATTTACAAATACACTTTTCAGAAAAAGAATAAAATAATAAAAATAATAAAAACAAAAACTATAATCAATCAAAACATGCTCTCCTGATAAGAAAAGTGACTAAAAAAGTGATCGATCCACTGATGATGATGATAAGTGTATTTTAATCAGATGCAAATTATGATGTTAAATAGTACTTTGTTTTGAAACTTGGCAAAGAAATAGACAAAAATCCGAAAAGCTTTGAACAATGTTCTGGGATTTTTCATTTATGCAGACATGGTTTATTTTGTTTTGCAATTTTGCATGTCTGGGGATGTTTTCCACTCCGTCTAAAAAATTATTTGCTAGGTATTCGAAGTTGGCAGATAGATTAACTTGTGAGCAAAAATGTCAAATGTCAAAAGACGTCCGACCAACCGGATTCGAACCAGTGACCTAAGGATATCTGCAACTCTACAGTCCTCCGCTCTACCAACTGAGCTATGGTCGGATTCCTGATAAAGCTCAGTCCTAAAACTTATTTATATGTTTACAGCTACAGTATCAGCCTACTCCAATATTCCGAAACGAAGAAACTGGGCAGTTCATATGCCAACCCCACTTGTTTCGGGAGCTGAATATAAATGGTGACAAACCAAGCTTTTCGAGCAGTTGCAGCTGATGCTGTGAGTTGCATCCTTACCTCACGCATGTTCATCACCTTTCACTAACATCTCCTGGCTTTCTCTTCGTAGAAAATCACACGATGAGGATAATGAGGTCAGATTTCGAGGTTTTCCTGTGCTGTCCGCGAACCCGTAGGCTTTGAGCCGCACAGTCGTCAGAGCGTTCATATTGCTCTTCTGGATGCTTCAGATCTCAGAAGCCTCACCAGTATGTGAAGAACTGTTTCCATTAGCAGATAAGTGGTAATCACCGGTTCATACAAATCATACGAACTACGAAGATCTCATAGGTGAGCGAATCGTAAGTAAAATAAAACGAAGTGTAGAGGACGCTTGGACCAAAAACTTACCTCCAAAGCATATGAACCCGATACCTTGAGATTGTATTACGTTCTTCACACGCAATTTCTGATTGAATGATGAACAGAAGGAGATAAAGATAGTTCTGGCATCGATATTTTGATGACTGCATTAGAGAAGCCATTGCTACGTACGAGAAACAGAAATGAATGTCGCTAGGAGTTAAGTCCACGTACCAGAAGGAAGGAAGATCGTCTCGCAGTGTGGGATATCAAGTCACTGCGAAACATTCTCAACAAGTTCAGTTCAAACATTTAATGGGGATTGCACAGGGACGTGTGTACGAACTCACCCCAGTCCATAGGCGGCACGATGTACAATTCCGCAAGTGAGCTCGCAGGAGGCGCATGTCCTTGGCACCTCTAAGATTTACTAACGGCGTCGTCAGAACCCTAAATCTAAATCCTAAACCTGGACAGTCCACACACTCTTGCCCAGCTATTCTTCCGACCGCTCTCAACCACACTAGAGCCACGTCACAGACGCAAAATTGCAAGAGAAACATCTCCGCTCCTTTCACTCTAATCAGGTGCAAACCACAAGGATTCCTGGAAATCCCGAACATTCGCCGGAGAGTCAAAGAACAGAAACGTTGCTCACATGCATATCATTCCCCCTTTCAGACCTGCTGGGCAGAAGTCATCCATGTCGATGATGATCGTCGAATTGCTCGAAACCCTATACGCAGAGTTCTCACGCAAGAGGTTTGTTGTCTAATTTTATGTGTCAACAATCAATATATTAAGGGAGATGCAAATGTTACCATATATTTTTGCAATTTCATCATGATTTATTTTAATTATTTAAATAAAAGTTATTTTCTTTGTACACAATTTGAAATAATATATATTGGAAGTATTGATATTTTTTATTGAAATAAAAAAAAATTAAAAATATGTCAAATAGGTGATGAGTTGTGATGTAATTGACATATATATTTATTTAGATAAGAAGTAGTAGGGAGTAAATAAATATAGGTAGATTTAATAAAATCTTCTGGTGAAGCTTCTTAGAAGCTTTATAGACACATATTTGACTTTATACATGTTTATAGTTAAGTAGGTTAGAAAACTTAATTAACAAGTTAGCTATGTATTGTATATGTAGATAGCTTGTGGTATAAGCTAATGATGTGTGGCACACATATAAGAAACTTGCCTTGCAAATTAAGACATGTGTCTTGCAAATTGGACACATATTAGAGGTCCTATAGAACATTGCTACATAGCTCATAGTTAGATAATATATATGGAAGCAAGAGTGAAGCCTTCTTTACTCTTATCAATGCCTTTTTAGTCCTTAGTTTTGTTTCAAGACTTTATAATTTTCTTGTTTTTGGCAATAGTCATTCTAATTTAATATATTACCATCATTGAGTGATTTTTTAGTCTTTTTGAATGACATAAGTATCAAGGATAAGAACTTGATGAAAAAAAATAAACAAGTAAGACTTTTTCAAAAAAAATATGACAAAATAAAAATAAGGAACTATGCATATTAGAAAGGAAGCTGGAATGACTATTGCTAAAAAATAAGGAAACTAGAGACTCTTGAAATTAGATTAGAAGCAAAAAGAAAGTTGACAAGAGTGGAAAATGCTTCTCTCTTACTTATATATATATATATATATATATATATATATATATTCTACCTAGAAGCTATATGATGATATTCTATGGGATCTTCAAAACGTGTTGACTTTGCTTAACATGTATTTTAATTTTTAAGGCAAGTTTTTTATATGGATGCTATATAGATAGATAGTTCTACAAGCTATCAATATGTGTGACATGTAGTTAACTTATTAACCAAGTTTCTAAC